GTGACAAAAAGACTTTGATTATACAGTATAAATCTGAAAGAAAGGGACTTCACAAATGTTATTAAAACAAGGATCTTGAGACAAAAAATGATATTGGTGGGTGGGGAATATTAAAAAATGCTACAATAAGTATATTGAACAACTATCTTTGTACGTGTTCTAATATAATTGAGAATGTTTGGCTCAAATCCACTACTTTCTAAAGAAATCTATTTGTACATCATCCCTTAACAATGATGTTATATGCTTTCCATCATCCCTGGCCATTTCTGAAGAGACCAAAGTGGATATCTGATGGAATGCTAGCCAAGCCCAAGGTTTACCAGTATCCTATAGCTTAGCCTTGTCTCAAAAGTAATCATTATAAGCTGAGTTAATTATCTTCTACCTTTCAGAAATTTGAATATACACTGCAAGGGTGTGTGTGTGTGGGGGGGGAGATGACAGGTTAGTAGAGGGCAAGGAAATGGGGGAAAATGATATTCAGAAGTGAATGGCAATTAGAAGTCATGCATAAAATGAATAAATAAGTCAACCTGTAGACAGAAGAGAGAGGAGGTCCAAAAGAGAAAAGAAACAATAAGATAATGGAAGAGTAGCTTCATTGTCTAATGGCTTTCTAGCGTGGTTCCCATGCTGAAGTTTTTGTCCTTGGAATTTTTCTGTGAGATTCTACTATTATGTGATGTAATATAACCCTATTTATTGCATTGTATAACTTGAGTGGACCTGTATTCTTTACAATTAGAAGTTCCCCAACAGTGGTATCATTCCTAGCTATGGAATTATGTAGCAAAAAGTAGTAACATACTTGGCCAAATAACTTTCCCCAAAAGTCTATAATAATTTACCTTCAACATCCGTGGTATATAAGCATATATCACTCCATACTTTTACTGAAAATATCTATTGTTTTTGTTATTAAAAGTAATGTTTCGGGGCTGCGTCTCAGCAGTAGTGTACTTGCCTGGCATGTGTGAGGCACTCAGTTTGATTCTCAGCACCACATATAAATAAATAAAATAAAGGTCTATCAACAACTAATAATAATAATAATAATAATAATAATGTTGTTTCCTTGTTTCATGTTCTTTGTAAATTTTTAAGCTTTGTACTCATTTGATTAATTCATATTAATACTTTTATCATCATGGCAAATATTTTTCTTCTTTTTTGTCTGGTTTCCATAATTTCCCCCCAGTTTTAAAATTCTTATGTAGTTAAATTCCTGTACAGGGAACAGGAATTGAAAACTTGTGCTTTCACCAACATGTATTTTATGATTTAGATCACGAGATAAAGGCCTAATTTTGTTTTTTACCCAAGAGTTATTATCTGAGTACCACCATTTACTGAACAATCCTTCTTCTATTCATAGATCTTCATTATATGTGAAGTATATGTGCATATTTACTGAGTATATTATATATAATATGTAATCCACATACTAGTATATTTCTAAACTATTGACTCAGATTCTAAATTTTTTCAAATATATAATCATGTTCTCCATTACAATGTCAACATGCAACTTTTTATGTTAGGGCAATCTCATTTATCTTATAATTATTTTCTCTTTTCTCCAATGCCTCTTTTTTTTTTTTTTAAGTGCTAGAATTTTACATTTAAAACCTCACCAAAATTCTCTTTTGAGATCTGGAACAAATCTATAAATTAACTTGGGAACATTCCCTCTAGAAAAATTTTAAGACATTTTTGTATGTCCTTGTTAATTTTCATTAATCTTATTAATATTATTCCACATTTTAATTTGATCCCTTAAAAAATTTAGTGGCATTACAAAGACATTTCCCATTCATTATATTTTTTTGATTTTTTGCAAGAGTTTAGAAAAGTAGTTATTTTGCATATTTAGCCTACTTTGATGGGTTAATTATATTTTTAAATATTTTAAAAACAGACAACCCTTTTGGTTTGCCTAATACCATCAGTCTTTTATATTTAATGAGTATCATTTTGCTTTTCCACTTGAAATAATATACAATCAAAATTTTAATCCAATCAGTATTTTTGAAACTTTTTAGGGACTAGGGTTGTAGCTCAGTGGCAGCCAGAGTGCTTACCTAGCACATGGGAGGCACTTGGTTCATTCCTCAGCACTACATAAAACAATAAATAAATAAAATATTTTAAAGGACTTTTAATAAGGCATTAACCTATTTTAAGAAATTGAGCCTTTATCTTGTTTCAGTCTCTTATTTTTTAATGCCAATTTCTTGAGTTCTTTTGTATTGTCTTTTGACATAGGGGCTAAATATTTTGTTTTTATCTTATCCATTGTTATGAAAGGTATGTTTTAGTTCAATTAGATGCATTTTCTAAGTTTTTGCCAAAATATGTTCCCTTGAATTGTTAAAATCAAGAAGAAAATGCTATTGAGTTTCTGATATTTAAGATTATAAGTGTAGCATACTTTCTTTTGCTATCTCTTCCCAAAGTTGTCAGATTTAGCAAACAGAAACAGAAGAACCTGGTGAATTTGAATTTCAAAAATAAAATTTTAGTATAAGTACTTGGGACATACTTAAAAATAATTAAAATGTATATACTTATTTGAAATTCAAACTTAACTAAGTCACCTGCATCTTATCTGACAACTTTACTCTTCCCTACAGACTTTTATATATATTCTGCTTTTATACTTAGCATTTGTATATTTTCCTGCACAACTATTTAATATTTTAAGTTTTGTAAACAAATTAACTATTCAGCCATAACTGCAAGTTTAACTGATTTCAGAAGTCATCACCAATCCTCTTATACCATGATTTCCACATTTGAACTCTAAGAAAGGCAAGTATACGGTACACTTTGTTTCTTGCTTATAGTTTATAGTATATATATGCATATAAATATGATTTGTTGATAAAATTTTGTTTTTAATCTCAGAATTCTGAAAGTGCTAGTCCCTTGCTTTTTTGAGTTACTGTTGCAAAGATCTTTGTTCATGTTCCCTTTTTGATTTTGTAGATCACCAGAATTTTTCATTCTACATACTTTTGTTTTCTTTTTCTAAGCTGTTTCTAAGATTGTTTTTTAAAACATTTTTGCCTAAAATCTAGTGAACATATATTTTTAAATCAGGAAAAATTAATTTCTTTGGTGACTGATTCTGTTTTTAATGTTTCCCTGGCCTCAAACTCACTATTCTCCTGCCTGCTTCCTGAACAGTTGAGATTACAGATGCACCCAAGTGTTCTTTTACCTTCCTTAGAAACTTTAATCCTTACATTGTATTCCCTGATCTTCCCGTCTTTTCTCATTGTTTCTATCACATTATCCTTTTCATTTATTCATTACATTACTTGATGTTCTACAATGTTCATTCTGCTCATAGCCTTTACTTTCATACAGAATTTTAAATTTCTCTGAAGACCTTGTTGTTGTCTATTTCTCTTCTTTACTTACTGAGTTCTACTCTAGCTTTATTGATATTTTCGTTATGATACTGAGGATACCAATTTTTATGAAATTCTCTTCTGGAACCTGAAAGAGCCAATTTTTAGGGTTTTAGGCTTCTAAGTCTTCAGGATGATATTCCTTTCTTTGATATTACAATTCCTTCTTATTTTCCTAAACAGGTCCATTTTTTCTTAGGAAGTAATATCTAAACATAACTATGCATCAATAGTTAGTACTTGTGGTTTAAATATTAGATGTCCCCCAAAAGTGTATGTGACACAATGCAAGAAAGTTTAGAGATGAAATGATTGGGTTGAGAGCCTTAACCCAATCAGTGAATTAATCTAATAGGGATTAACTAAGATAACTGAAGGCAGGTAGAGTATGGCTGGAGATGGGTCACTGGGGGGTGTGCCTTAAGGGTATATATTTTGTCCCTGGAGAGTGGACTCTCTCTCTGCTACCTGGTACTATATGTCCAGCTGTTTTCTTCTGGCACCTTTCCACCATGGTCACACCCTGAGGAATGCATTAAGACTGCTGAAAACTGTGAGCCCCCAAATAAACTTTTCCTCCTCTATTTGTTCTTGTCAGGTCTTTTGGTCATAGCAGTGAAAAGCTGACCAAAAGAGGATTTGAGTATTCCTAACTCTATGACACATAATGGCTAACTCTCTTGTTTCACAATTAGCTGGAGGGTTCAATTCTGTTCCTAGCAGATATTTCCATATTACCATTCTGTTCTACTGAAGTTAAATTCTATTGCTTGAATCTCTATTTCTGAACCAATAGATGATCTTTAGTTTCTAGAATTCACTATTAACTTTCATCCATACCTTTCTTAGGGAATCTAAATCTACTTGGTCTCTGAGCCTATGAATGAATGTGGAAACCTGGGGAGAAGTGGTTACCTCAAAGTGCAGTACCCTAGCAACAGAAGAATGGTTCCTGAGTTTTCTGGATGACAGTGATAACATCTCCAATGTATCTATTATCTTAGATACAGGGTCATACAATGTTTTCTCATCTTTTATCAGGTTGGTTTTGTTGCATAAGAATTGAATTCTACTATAGTTTATTTGTCCATATTTGAACAATACCAGTTTGAATTTCAACTTTTGCAAATTCCATCTTTTTTGTGGCTTCCCAAAGACTTTCCGAGGATGTCAAGAGATGCTCTTTCAAAGATGACTAGCCAGTTTCAATTAAAACCAAAATGAAATGTTTTGAAACAAAAATTAAAAGCATTTTGAAGTCAGTGAAAATACAAGTTGGACATTGTTTGATTTCATAAACATTAAAATGCACTGGAAAAAAGGCTAGAATACAACAGGATGCAAAAAAAAAATCCTTCCTTAAACTTTAATATATATTTTGTAATAATTATGTTTTGTGTTTATAGTAAAGAAAATACATTTAATTTTAAATAAATAGTAATTCTCCTAAGAATTGCCTCTTGAGGTAGGAGGGGAAACTATTTTTGTTTAGAATTTTGTATTAATTATAGGATTTCTTTTCCAGCAGCATTTATTGAGTTTAATGATTAAGTTTTACTTGAAGCTATTAATAAACAAGATTTATACAGTTTCTCTCTTGTGATTATTGTGAAGATGTGAATTCTGATCAAACCCTTTGTAATACTCATGGCATTTATAAGTTTTCTCTCCCACGTGGACTCTTTGATGAATTCGAAGTGCTGAGCTATGACTGAAACCCTTACCACACTTTGCACATTGATAAGGCTTCTCTCCAGTATGGACCCTCTGGTGGATGTGAAGATTAGAGCTGTGACTAAAGCCCTTCCCGCAATCAGCACATTTATAGGGTTTTTCTCCTGTATGAACTCTCTGATGAATGAGAAGATGTGAACGCTGACTGAATCCCTTACCACACTCTTCACATTTATAAGGTTTCTCTCCAGTGTGTATTCTTCGATGAGTGTGAAGTTTTGAACTCTTGCTAAAGCCCTTCCCACAGTCATGACAGGTATAAGGTTTCTCTCCTGTGTGGACCCTCTGGTGAATGCGAAGATCTGAGCTATGGCTGAAGTCTTTCCCACAGTCACTACATTTATAAGGCTTCTCTCCTGTATGCACTCTCTGATGAATTTGAAGATTTGAGCGTTGAGTAAAGCGCTTACCACAGTCATCACATTTAAAAGACTTCTCTCCTGTGTGTACTAATCGATGAATTCGAAGATTTGAGCTCTGACTGAAGCCCTTACCACATTCATCACACTTATATGGTTTTTCTCCAGTGTGGACTCTCTGATGAACATGAAGTACTGAACTCCGACTAAAACTCTTACCACATTGATCACACTTAAAGGGTTTTTCTTCTGTGTGAAGACTCTGATGAATGTGAAATAGTGAATTTGTATTGAGGTCCTTATTACACTCAGATTTATAGTGGTTCTCTTCTGTATGGACACTTTGATGACTATGAAGACAAGAAATCTGACTGAAGCTCTTACCACATATATTACATATATAAGGTATACCCCCTGTGAAGACTCTCTGATGAAAGTAAACTCCTGAGCCAAGACTAAAGTTACTGCCAACTTCATCACATCCATACAGCTTCTTACTTATGTGGATTCTTGGATATCTGTAAAAATCTGATCTCTGAGAGAAGCATGCTGTGCCAATGGAGTATGGATAGAGATTTTCTCCAAGTTGATTTCTCTTGTGGAGAACACATTGTGAGTTCCAATGACGAATTTCTTTACATTTATTACAGACACAGTATTTCTCCTCCATAGAGTCTCTCAGTAGGTCACACTGGCATATCTCCCCAATATATACTGGAAGGGCTTCTTCCACTGAGATATAAGAATGCTGAGCTATGAATTTCTGGTCTTTTTCCATAAAAAGATTTTTCCTAGATATGACAAGATGGTTTCCGTCCCTTCGAAAACCATGGGAATCATTCATGTAATCTTCTCTACTAAAGTCTTGGGTGGTTTTGGTTTCTAAGGACTGCCAAGGTATTAACTTTCTGAATTTTAAGTTCCTATGGCTTGCACCTTCAAAGGTCAGTTCATAGTTTCCATACTCTGGTACTTGTGTGGAGAGAATTAACCACTCTTGACATTGGGAAAGATCTTGTTGCTTTACATTTTTGGAATCTACCCCTTGAATGGTTTCATTATAATTTTGATTCTCGTATATCTGAGTGCTAGCATTTCTCCAGCTCTGCAAGAAGGAAAAATTTTCATATTGTAAGTATTTGAATCGTTCTTCTTGTGGCTTGTAGCTCTCATTCAAGTTTCCTAGAAGAATAAACAGTTACTTTAGTGATGATATGAAGGTTGTGCTTAAAGCTTTCCAATTATCTAAATCAAAGACTTTCATAATGGTAGGAAGATGTGTGGAGAGGAGTAGGAATGAAGGGTATGACTTTGGCCGCTCCTTTTGGGTCAGAGATTTATTTATTTTTGTACATTCATGTATATATTTATTCATTTGCTCATTCATTCATTTTACAAACATACCTTGAGCATCAATTTACAATTTATCAGGTACTATTTATAATAAAAAATAAGGCCAACTGCTTCATAGAAATAGTTTTGAAGACTAAACTATATTACTTTACTTGGGACATTATTATAAGAAGTAAAATATGTTTCTATTTTTCTGCTATAGAATAGTGTGGGAGACTGTGTGGAAAAAAAATGGCTGCATTAACTCTACTTATGCCTTTGGGTGCTCTCCTTCCACACTGTGTCTAGGCTTGGTAATATAATCTGCTCACTGGGATAACAGCTAAAGTGTCAAAAGCAGAAATTTGAAGAGTGCTTGCCTTCTCTCTTGCTGCTTTTGAAAATTCTGCGACCACCACCACCACATGAAAAAAAGGGACATATAGCCAATGTATCTCCAACATCCCTAGTGATTTTGAGCCAACTGTCAGACATATGAATTAGGCCAGTCAGCCTTATCTTAAAATCACCCAGTCCCAAGAAAATTCCTCTATGAGACATCATCCATGATTCCTATTGAGGAATCATGAAAAAAATAATAAATTTTATCTTAAGCCACTAAGTTTGGGGTAGTTTGTTATATAACAAAAGGCAATTTGTACAAACGGTATGACGAAAAACAACTTTAGGAACAAACAAAACTTACTATGTATGGAGATTTGTGCTCTAAGAATAATATAGAAAATAATTAAAAATAATAATCACAAATATCTAGGTCATTGCATAACCCAGATGTCTTAGAAGATATTTTGCCTTATATTTTACAGGTTGAGCATCCCTAATCCAAACATTCAAAATCTGAAATATTCCAAAATCCAGTGCTGACATAATGCTCAAAAAATTTCAGATTTTGGAACATTTTTGGATTAGGATTGCTCAAACAATAAAGATCATACAAATATTCCAAAATCCAAAAAATTCCAAAATCTAAAAAACATTTTTGGTCCCAAGCATTTTGCATGAGGGATACTCAAACTGTATTTGTCATCTGGCTTAAAACATATTTTGTGAATATTTCTTCTATCACACCAACACAAGAACTCAGACAAAGAACTGAAATATACTCAACAAAATTGGTTCTAGAAAGCTCTAAATTCCTTGTGAGCTGGGATAACTTTACCTAATGACATGACATTTGTGTAGTTCTCCCACATAACCTCCCAATAGAGATTTTTTTGAGAAGAATCCAGGAATTTCCACTCTTCCCAAGTAAAAATAATTGTTACATCTTCAAATGTTACTGCCATCTGGTTAAAGATGAGGCTTTTGGGGCAGAAGAAATCTAAGTGAGAGGATGAACAAAGAAAAAGATATTTAGTAGGTAATATAAGTGGCAAACCACATAGAAAAAGAAAGAACTTCAAAAAAGGAAGAAAAACAAGAAAGGTAAGGGGAGATATAACAAGTAGCCAAATGGCTTAAAAATGTATCCAAATATCAAATATTATCACTATCAAAGAAATACTTACATAGCACTTGTCTGTCAACCAATGAGCTAATAATGACTTCAACTTATATTTTAGTTAGTCCTCATAGCAATCCTGTGAGGTAGATACTATTATTATCTCTGTACTACAAAAATAGTAAATAATGGTTGAAACAGATTAATGCCAATGATCACAGAGCTAGAAGGCAGCCCAGAAGGGACCCACACATGTACACTTCAGACAAGAATAATTTGCCAAGTGCAATAATATTACTCAATATTGCTTATATTATTGCTTCATGGGTGATCATTTTAGATATTATTTACTTCTTCCTATGAGATGATGAATTATATACTAGAGTTCTATTCATCATTTTCATACTATTTTCACTAATTTTCAGTTAAATCAATGCAGTGCTTATATAATTTTGACTATGATATAAAGTTTGTTTGAAAGGATGATTTGTTTTGTTCTAAGAAATTTGCTATCCTCATATTCTTATTTTGAAAAGCTCTATATAATTTATTTTATCAAGTGTCTCAGCCTACCCAACCGTTTTATTTTGGAAATGTTATCTTCTTGCTCTAATCTGGACTGGCTACTCTTTAAAGCTCAATTTTCAATATTCCATAATTCTTTATTTTACTCTGTCATTTTGGAGGAACACATCAAAATGAATCCAAACTAACCTATGAATATTAAGCTCACTGCCAGTGAAAAAGGCAAAGGTGAGAAGCAGACAAGGTATTCCTCAATATACATCATTTAAGAGAATCTCCAAGCAGGATTACTAGGAAAAATTCCCAGATCATTTGAATCACAGTACACTTGAAATCATCATTAACCCCTCATAACTGACTTGAGTGCAGAAATGTAGACTAAATTTTTTTTCTCAGAATTGCTTCATTGTTACAAGCATTGCTTCTGAGACTGATTTTTTTTTTAAATTCTAATGAATCTGTAGGTAATATTTTGTTTCCTCTATAAAAATATTTTAGGATCTTCTTTTGTTGATTCCTTGGTTTGGGACTTTGAAGAATTTACTCAAATATCTTATAATTCTTCTATTAGCTGTATATGTGATTCAAATACCAGAATTTTCCAGGAGAGTTCAGCTAGTTCAGAAAATTAAATGTCTAATCTCCTGTTTTTAGAAATGAAGATTTGTAAATATACAAAATTCCTACATAAAATATTAGCTAATTGAATTAAGTAATGTATCAATAATACATCATGATCAAGTGCAGTTTATTCCAGGTATGCAAGGAGAGTTCAACAAAAGAAAAATTTAGCAACATAATTTCCTGTATTAATAACTATAGAAGACAATCATGATTATCTCAGCTAATTCAGGAACATCACGTAATATAAATTCCGTTAAATTGAACACCTATACATGGTATTAAGAAAAGCTTTTAGCAAACTAAAAAAATTTTTAAACTCTCTAAAATGTTAACGGTGTATATTAAGAACTATAGGCTTAATGGAGATATTTCAATTGTAATTCAAATGTAGTATCATTATTTTCATACTTAGAGACATGTATCTTGAAAACCCATGAATATGCACATAAAACAAACTAAATATTCAGCAAAATTAACTAGTTACAATAAGACAATAGCATACTGTATCAGCAATCAACTACTAGAAAGTAAAATTTCATATACAACAGCAACAAACAGACCAGTTGAACCAAGAATATAAAAAACTCTATCCTTTCAAGTTCCAAAGAGAAGAAGGAAGATTATCTGAATAAAAGGAGAAGCATGCTTCCATGCTCTTGGATGAGATGATTTAAATGCAATACAATTAAAGAATATTTGCAGTTGGATTTTTTTTTTTTTTTTTGAGAAACACAATATACTTTTTTTTTTCCTTGAAATTTATAGGGAAGGAAAATAAGTCCATAAGGAGAAGTAAACCAAGTGGGAAGACTTGCCTTACTAGATAATGACATACCACCAAAGGCTAGTAGCAAAATTAGAAGAGAACAATCAATTAGTATAACGGAATAGAGGCCTCTCACTAACCAATATGCTTCTTTATGAAAACATGTTAACAATGAAGGTAGCATTATAAATCAAAGAGGAAAGTATGGATTCTTCACTAGATGGTGATACAAAAACTGATTAACTATATGCAGAAAAAATTAACAGGATTCCAGTATTATACCATATGTAATGAAAACACTACTTAACTGTTAAGGAAAGGCAACAAAGTAATCACAAGAAAATATGGGAATTTGAAAACTTTTGCCATTGTTAAATGAATCCAAGAACTAGTTCTCTAGGGGAAAATATTAACATTACAATAGGTAAATCAAATAATATATAAAGCAAATAAAATCCAGCAACACTTGTAGATTATAAATTATCATACTGCTGTATAACAATTCCAACACTTAAAGCCTTAAAAGAATAATTATTTATTATCTCTAACATTTTCTCTAGGCCAGAAATTTAGGAGTGGGTAGGCAGTTTTGGCTCAAATCTCTTATGAAATTGTTGTGAATTATTGTCTAGATCAATAGTCATCAAGTATCTCGACTGGGAGGGAGGATTCACTTTCACAATGGTTCCCTCACATGGCAGGCAAATTGTTACTGATTGTTGATGTGGGGTCTCAGTTTCTCTCCACTTGTCCTTTTATGTGGCCTGGACTATCTCTCAACATGGTAGCAATTTTCCCATGAGAAAAGCAAGGAAAAGGTTCATTATTTTTATGACTTAGTCTCATAATTCACACTGCATCATTTCTACTGAACTCCATGGTTTGAACCAATCATAAGCTTCTGACAGATCTGAGAGGAAGGGACATAGGCCCTGCCTTTTGGTGGGGAAGAATATCAGTCACATTTCAAGAAGAACATTAAGGACAAGATAAAGTATAATTGTGGTCATCTTTGGTAAATTTAATTTCCTACAACACTAAGGCATATTATAGCATAATAAATTGATACTTTATACCAGAATGTAAAGGAAGAGTTAAAATGAAAAGTTATTAAGTTTAAACCTTCTTAATAATGTCAAATAAGAAAGTCATATAATTATTTCAATGAATGCTGAAAGAATACTTCCTAATCATATCTCAAAACCAAAAACAAAATATTAAAGGCATTCCCATTAAAACTGTAAACCTGAAAAAGATATTGCAGATCCATGATCTTTACACCACTGATGTGAAAGCACATAGATTTTCTGTAGAGGGTAGGCTGCATATCTGAAGACTGTCATAAAATCAGTTGAAAACAACTGGAAGTTATAAAACAAATTAATGTCCTCAAAATTCCACTAATACAGTTGTACTCTATGGAAGCTTACATTATGTATACCAGAAGATATGTACAAGAACAATTAGAGTAAAGTAGTTACTATAACAGCAAAAGGCTGGAAACAATCCAAATGGTTCAACAACAATAGGATAGATAAATAAGTTGTTCATACTATGAAATAGTACACAGTAGTGAAAAGGAACTATAGCTATGTAAAACAACACAGATACAGTATAAAAATAAAATATTATGCTAAAGAAATCATTCACAGGAGAATATATTTAGTCATTACATTGTACAATGTACAAAAATATGCAAAACTAAATAATTTCTAAGAGATGCAAATATGCACAGCTTAAAATATAGGGGAAAGACTTAAAAATACTAAATACAACTTCTAATAAAGTGGTTATACCCCCTTAAGTTGGTGGGAATGAAAATGTGGGGTTATCAGGAAGCTTTTAAAAGTATTTGTTGGTTTAGATGATAAGTGCAGATGTTATCTTATATTTTAAATTGTACATATGTGTTTTCATATACTCTTCTACATATATGTAATACATTACAATAAAGTTAAATTTTATATATCATATATAAAATTCAAATAATACAGAAAAATAGCAAAGACATTATAACAAATTATTCTATGTAATATTTATAATAACAATACAAATATAAATATAAATTGCTCAAAATAAGTTTGACAAAAATACTTAGAGCCTATATAAAGATAGTTCTAGAATCTGGAAGGATTAAAAAAGGGTTGAAAGAGTATGAAGATCCCATTCAATCTTACGTAAAAAAAAATATATATATATAATTTTTTTCTCACTAAATTTACCTCTATTTTATAGGATCCAATCAAGATACTAACAAGATTTTGATGAGGGGGTAAAAAGATCTAACACAGTGGTTTTCAAGTGCTTTTGTGGGGGGGAAAAAAAAAAGGAAATTCTGAAAGAGGAATAATAAGGGGAGACTAATTTAATAGCACATTTAAACTATAATAAGGCCTCTATAATAGCATGGGTTTGACACAGGAATAAAGAAAACAATATAAAAAAAATAGAAACCTGCAAATGGTCCCAGGTTCAACAGTGAATTTTAAACATGAAGATGTGACATCAAATTTGTGGGGGAAAAAATGGCTTATTTAATTAATGATGTTTGGACAACTAAATAGACACTTGGAAGGAAAAATGAAGCTAGATTCTCTTCCTCCATATTTATGGCTTGGTGACTAAAAAGAGTTGTATCAGATATGAATTATATTTTAAGTAATAACTAATAAAATAGCAACTGACTCTTAGTGAGTTCTTTCTATATGTCAAACACTGTGCTAATTTTTTTTGGGTGTGTGCCCTTATATACCATCATACTCCTACACAGTAAGTTTTATTTCCCCACTTTAAAGATGAGAAACTGGTCAAGTAATTAAATCTAGTTCATAAAACTAAGAAACAGTAGACATGAAACAAGAATAGACAGCAAGCTAAGATAGCACTAGCTATATTTTGACCAATATTCTATACTAATAAAACATACTGAAAGGTTAATATATTC